ATTTGCTCACACAACCATCTCTAGATCACATGACCATGGCTATGGTGGAGGTAAGGGTGGTGGTAATGGTGGAGGAGGAGCTGGGCTGACAAAAAGTCTGTCTAGTACATAGAAACTGAAAGTTGAAAAGGCAATTTGACTTATACAGGTAATGTGTGTGAAATCACTTAACATTCTGCCTGGCACATAGTGCTCCAAAATAAAAGTTATTACTGTCACTGATATCATTACTATTGCCCAGAGTCGTACTGCCAGTAAGAGAGGACTCAGAACTTGAAACCAGGTCTCTGGATGCCCAAGGTCTCTCTCCCCAGTGCCTATAGGTCACTGAGGGCAGGGACCAGTCTGTTCAGCATTGTATCCTTGGCAACTAGCCTGATGCTTGGCAGGGAATTAGTTCCTTACTTTTTAAAACTAAGCAGTTGCTTCCACTTCTATTAGAGCCACCGCAACATCAATGTCTTTCTCAGGGCAGAGAAAGACAAAGGTGTAGGAGAAAGCAAGGGAGAAATGCAGGCTGACTCTGACCAGCTAAATGCTGCAGAGGGGTCTCCTCTCGCTCCTCAAGAAGTGGAATGAGGCCACCCTGATCCTGAGGAGATGGGGTCTTCCTCCTCCACATCATCTCTCATCTCCACCCCAGCTCTAGGAACTGAACTCACTGCCCCTGACTCTCTGGTAACTGCAGTGAAAGGAAGGGCAGTGAAATCCATCCATGTCTACAGAGCAGCATTTGACAACGTGATGCAGAATACATTGGGGGCCTTGAGCAGGGGAGCTGGCAGCATCTGCCACCTTTCACAGAGGGGCTCAGTGTAAGGCATGCACAAGGCTTTCATAGTCTGCTAGGAGTTGGCAAGTTTAGTGGACATTGTCTAAGGACCAAACCTACGTGGAAGTGGAATAATTTTTAATTTCTATGGTAATAAGGAGCTTAAACTCCAGTTCTATTTACAGGCTAAACTTATGAGCTACATCCCTATGCCCCAGGCTGATCACTATGATGTGCAGATTTACCAGGGACTAGCTATGACTAAAGAGAACCTACATGAGGAGGAATCAGAGTTGGCAGATGAAAAGAACTCCGTGATTAAAGGGGTTGAGGGAAACTGAAACACAGAAGGGACTGAAGGAAAAAGTCCTCAAAGGCCTATTGAAAATATGCCATATAGAGTACAAGTCACCTGTTTGAAAATCTGAAAGTCTTACAACAGCCATGTGGGCAAGACCAGTGCACCAGGCGCCCCAGTGAGGCTCTCTGGGGTTCTCTGTGCCTGCTCTCTTTGATCTACAGTTCACTGACGGCTGTGTACACCAGACGCCCAGGGCACCTGTCAAAACTGCATTCCTAGGCATTCTTGCCACTTACCAACAAGTCAGTTTCCATCTTTTGGCTAAAATACATACACTGGCTCAAGATTTAAAGGGCGAAATTCATTATCTGGCTGGCACTGGAAGACAGTTTCCAAGGTGGTAGAAAGATTAATATAGTTGTATAAAGAAAGCCTGCAGCCTGCTCCCCATTCTGCAGAATACCCCACTACACAACAGCAGAATGACAGGTTGAAGGAGAACCTTCTAGAAAACAGCCCCCATTTTAGCGAGGCCCAGAGCTCAAATAAGCATGTCAAAAAAGGCAGAATAGTTATTTTCTTGTATGCTCACATTCCTTCAAGGAAGTTTAGTCCTTAAAAAATATATTAGTAGACTGTCAAAATGTTCTCCAGAGTGAAGGTAGCTAGAGTAGAAATACCATAACCAAAACTGTCATTTGCTCAGTATGTAACTTCTTAATAGTATTTCTGGAAGGTAATTTGATCAAATTACAAGGTTCACTTGTCCTAAAGAGGTATTCAGCCATTTTGTTGCGATGTTCATGATACTCAACTGATTCATGAATTGTAACAATGCTGTTTTGTCCCTGACCACCTGAGGGCTTACAATTGCTTTACAACTTAGGATGTTTTGTAATTCCCTTTTGGGAAAACTGAAACACAGACTGAGAAGTGGCCCAGAATCACAAAGAGTCACCACGTTAAAAGGAAACTGAGGCCTGTAAGTGGAGATGCATAGACTCCAAGCCAAGGCGTCTTAGCTCTAGCTACTATTCTCTGTAATCTCGGCAAGCTCGTTTACTACACTGGCTCTTCAATTTCCTCATCTGCAAATGGGGGCTTCCATACTTGGCCTTCCTGCCTCCCAGGGTTGTCCTGAGGACAACGTGTCCTTGCACTGCTTGAGTGAACAGTGTGGTGGAAGATGACACAGCCACAGTTGGTGAGGATGGAGGAATGGGCAGCTGCCCAGATAGCAGTGCCTTCACTTCCCACTGTGGGGTGAGGACAGAGAAGACAAAGGCCATGCAGAATCAGATGGAGAACAAGGGTGGCAGGAGCAGGTATACAGACCTAGGAGGCTCAGAGCCTGAAGAGTACTCCTCACACTTCAGCAGGAACAGACTGAGGATCAGCCATTAAGGAGGGAGTGGTGAGCAGAAAGGCTACAGAGTTAGAGCAGGAAGGTGGGAGAAAGTATTCCAGAAACCAGGAAAAGGAAAAGGAAGGAAAGCAGATGGGCTGATTGTCTCTTCTGGCTTCAGAAGGAGCCCCAAGAAGGAAGGTGGCCACGAGAAAGAAGAGGACAGGGGTCCCTGCCCTTCATTCATCTATTTATTCATTCAATAATTCTGAGCACTACTAGATACCAGTCACTGTGCTGGGCACTTACAAGACAGACATCCATGAACACTAACAGACAAAGATTCTGCCTTTGTGAAGTCTATATTCTACAGAAAAGAAACAGACAACAAATAAAAACATAACAAACTAATCAGCTAGACTGCATGTTAAATAATAAGTGTTAGTGAAGGAAAAATAAAGCAAGGAAGGGCAATAAGAGAGTTCCAGGTTGTGGGCAAGGTCAAGTTTAAAAAGGGTGGTAAGGAGAGGCCTCACTAAGAAAGTGGCTTTGAGCAAATATTTGAAGTCAATAGGAGGCAGAGAACCATGTGGATATCTGAAGGAAGAGACTATCAAGAAGGGGAAGTATTCTAAGGTTCCTGCTCTGACAATTTACTTCATCCAAAGATGGCCACAATAGTATCTCCCATTCCACCTGCTTTCCTTATAATGCGACTTTGACACCTCTTCCATCACCTTGAATCTGGACAGGTTTGAGACTATGGCAGAAATGATCCTATATAACTTCTGATGCTGAGCCATAAAAGGTAGTAAACCATCTGCCTGGCTCTCCTGGGGACACTCACTCTTGGAACCCAGCCACCACATTGTGAGGAAGCCCAAATAGCCACATGGAGGGACTACAAGTAGGTATGCTTGTTGGCAGCCCCAGCTGAGGTTCCAGCTGACAGCCATCACCAATCACTAGTCAGGTGAGTAAACAAATTTTCAGATGATCCCAGCCCCCGGCCATCAAATCTCTCCCAGTCTTTGAGTCTTCCCAACTGAGGCCTCAGATATTGTGGAGCAGAAATAAGACATCCTTGCAGTGCCCCTTCCAATTTTTGACTCGTAAAACCCATGGGCATAATAAAGTGGCTGTTTTATGCCTCAAAGTTTGAGTAGTTTGTTATGCAGCAAGAGATAACTGAAGCATCCATATTAGAGTGTTGAGTAACAAAATAGTATATTAATCTGCTTGTTCCCTGTGTATATACATGCCTTCTTTAGGCACCTCACAGGGAGGAGAGGTGGTTAGGCTAAGGTAAGATTAATTTGTTTCTGTCTCTTGACCCAGTAGTTGCCTAATATTCCCAACAGTACTCCTAACAAGAGATCAACAAAAAAGAACAAATAGCCCAGAAACAAACTTTATTAAAAGTTAAAAGAAGAATTAAAAGTAAAGAAGAGAAGATTATTTTTAAAAATTGATACTGGAGTAACTGGTTCCAGTGGAAAATCAATTAAGATCCTACATCTAAATAACTTCAGTATGATCACACAGCTTACTGTAAAAAAAACAAATAAGGAAAAAGAAGAAAATATGGATATAGGTATATTTTACTTCTTGGGAGGAAAGACTTTCTAAATTTAAAAGCAAAGGAATTACAAAGGAAAATACTGATAGACTGAATTGCATACCAAAAAATTATAAGCAATATTAGAAGACAATGAACACTATCTGCAATAAAGATTATAAGCAAAAAAACAAATACCAAAATACAAACAAATGAAACAAAACCCTAAGATCCCAATTGATTAATGGGCAAAGAATGCAAACAGAAAAACACTAAATGAGAAAATTCAAATGGTAAATACCCAACCTGATGGGTTATCAGAGAATCTCAAATAAAATAATAATGAGGTAGTAATGATCTTCATCTATAATAATAGCAAAATGATACTAACGATGTATTGTGAGCTGAGTATTCTCAAACATTTCTGGTGGAAGTATACATTTAAATAACCTTTAGTTAAGTAATTTGGCAGTATGCATAATAGCAAGTAATATAAAAGAAAAAACAATTTGAAAATAATTTAGGGATTTATAGATACTAACTATTATATATAAAACAGATGAACAACAGGTTTATACTGTATAGCACAGGGAACTATATTCAATATCTTGTAGTAACTTATGGTTAAAAAATATGAAAACTAATATATGTATGTTCCTATATGACTGCAGTAGTGTGCTATACACAAGAAATTTACACATTGTAAACCGACTATACTTCAATAAAAATATATTAAATAAATAAATAAAATATAATCATAAAATCCAGTTTAGGGTAAATTTCTACCATTAAGGAAATAGTTAAGCAAATTATGATATATCTATTTCAGAAAATATTATGCATTTATTAAAATCATGTTTACAAAGATGTTCTAAAGATGTGGAAAATGTAATCAAATGTAAAATAAATTAAAAAATGCAAATACATGTATGTTTCTACAAAGAAAAAAATCTGAGGAGATGTACCTCAAACTAATACTGCTGGTTATCTCTAAGGATTACTGGTGAATTTCCTTATCTGCTTTACACATTCCTGTTTTGGTAAAATTTTTTAGGAAAGAAAAAAGAAATCAGGGCAAAACTGATTAAGATTTACTTCCCAATTTCCCTGTAAGAGGATTTAAGTGCTGTAGGTCTATGATGAAGAGCTATATCCTCATCGCCTATAGGAATGGCCATGCCAAATCATAGGGCAGTTCAAATAACCATCATTGGAAGAAAGGGGACCAGATGTGATAACTCCAGGATTATTTTGCCCCTCAGCTCTCAGTTTGTGGATAGGTATATTTCATATTCCTTTTTCAGTCCATTGTGGGAACAGAGAGGTGTGGCTGGTCAACACACATAATGCTTGACATAGACCTCACTGGCTTCAGGAAAGCTGGTAGAAGCCAAGTATTGAGGAATACGATGCCTGACTGCAGAAGAGAGATCCCAGAGAAACCAAGCCTACAGCCAACCACCACTGTAGGCATCCTCTGGTCTAGTAGAAGCTTGTGTCTAGACTAATCCCCTAGGTTATTTTCAATTAGAATGAAGGCCATAATATATCTATGCAACTCTCTTGCACTGTCCCCTTAAATCCTACTGGATGGAATTTCCTGGACAAGCTTCATGGGATCACCCACTACATTCTCTTATGTGGGTCTTCCCACCCTTGCCCAGTTAGCCCCCAACAGATAGGAGTCCAAGGCTGGTCTTTGGCTGAGCATGTTGCAGTGAGAAGCTCAGGTCCATTAGACACAAGCAATGTGAAGAGGGAAAAATCAAATCAGAGCAGGCCCAGCATCTAAGAGCAATAAAACCCTTGATTCTGAAATCAACTCTCAACCAATGGTTCCAATTATATTCCTGACCATAAGAAGCCTGTGAGACATGTAAAAATTAAAGATATGTTTAAAAAGAGGCTTGGGATTACTCTACAGTAAATGCTATTGATATCCCATGGGTCATGGAATCATGGACTCCTAGAAGTCAGATATTAGCAATTCCCTTTGTTTTACAGAGGAGAAAAACTGAATACCAGAGAGAGGAAAAGTGGCTTTCCAGAAGTCATATAGCTGATTCACAGCATATGCTAGACCAACTCTTACAGAAACCTGGCATTAGCCTTAAAGAAACAATCACAAATTGAGAAACGATAGTACCTGCCTCACTGGGTCAGAGAGAAACCATCCATATCTGGTAGGGTGGCCTGCCTTCTAACCTCTCCTCCTTGCCAAAGAAACCATGCAACCTGTTACCCTACAAGCCCCAGATTGGGTATTATTAAGTAGGGCTGATAATGAACTCACGGGCCTGCTGGATACACTGACCTTCAAACACAAGCTTCACGAAACCTCACAATCTCTACCTACCTCTCTTTTTTATTAAGTTCTAGATGCTTTCAAAGAAAAGACCCCAGAATAGTTAAATAATTGCAGGAATTAACTGAACTGGTCTCCAGAACATTCTTAATTCAGAAGAACTAAAGGCCTTGTAAGTGCAAAGGATTTAAGAACAGAGCCAATCAGAGGATGAGCTGACTGGTGAAAAGCTGTATGATAGAGGGTGGGAAGGGATAGACTGGGATTTCAAAATTGTAGAATAGATAAACAAGATTACACTGTATAGCACAGGGAAATATACACAAAATGTTATGATAAATCACAGAGAAAAAAATGTGACAATGAGTGTGTATATGTCCATGAATGACTGAAAAATTGTGCTGAACACTGGAATTTGACACAACACTGTAAAATGATTATGAATCAATAAAAAATGTAAAAAAAAAA